GTGGCGCCCAAAACTGCACACAGCACTCAAGATGAGGCCGCGCCAGTGCAGAGTAGAGTGGGACAATCACCTCCCTCGACCGGCTGGCACTACAGTGCTTGATGCACCCCAGGACACGGTTGGCCTTCCTCGCTGCCAGGGCACACTGTTGGCTCATGTTCAACTTGCCATCGACCAGGTCTCCAGCCTCTCATTCCCCAGTCTGTTTGTACATCCAGGGTCGCCATGTCCCAAGTGCAAAATCCGGCACTGCTGCTAAGTGACTTACTGCTGGTAAGCACAGCTGCTTGCCAAATTTCTGTTGGGCAACTGAGCATGGTACTTGGGGCTTCAGTGCAGGCATCTGACAACAGTCCCAGGCTGCAGCTGGAGCTCCCCACTCCCCGGAGGCCTGCGAGGCCCCACTGCCACCGCCGTGGCCTCGCATTGCCACCCCACTGCCCTCACAGGGTCCAACACCTCTGACCCCATCATGGGTCTTGTGTGTGATGACTCACAGAAGTTGAGGCATCTGTCAGAGGAGGAAGACTCCCAAGTGACAGCGCTTCCCCCATTCTCAGACCTCCTCCCACCTCCTCATCTTTGGTGTTAGGGTGAGTCAGAGGTTACCCCTCACAACGGCTGGCAACCACATCCCAACCTGGCAGAAGTTCCCAGCAGCACTGACTTCAGCGGTCCCTGCCTCCACGCGCTCTCTCGTGGAGGTGGCAAGAGGAAGAGAAGGGGCAAGCTAAAAATTTGTCTCCAGCACTATCATCCCTGTGCTGAGAACCAACCAAACAAAAAATCTAGTTGTGCCTAATCGATTTTTATTATTGAGTAAGAAAGTGCTCTTCCATTTGCTAAGAGCAGTTCTCAGTGTAAAATAAACTCTCCAAAGCCCTACTTGCTGGCCAGTAACTGAAAATGAACTTTTTTTTTTTTCTCAAATGACATTTTAAAGCAGTTTTCTCTGGCTTCTCTACTCGGGCAGACAAAAACCCACAGCAGGAAAGCCTGCACGGGTCAGACAGAGGATTAAGCCAGAAACCCTATTCCTGACAATGGCAAACAAGTGGAAGGTAAGGGAAAACATATAAATGGAAAGGCAAGTATAGAGTAATCCTTCCCCAGTGCATTCATCTAGTGGCTGAAGAATAACAAGGTAAGGACCAAGTCCATGAAGACTTGCATAAACCGAAACCTACAGCTCTTCAGTTCATGGAAATAAAAGAACTCAAACAAGCATTGCAGCTCTACCCGGTGGTTCAAAGTCCAGCAGTTTCTAGCTCCAAAGATGTTCGTTTCCTGCTCTCTACAGGGAGATGGCTCTGTGTTTTCCTAGATATTCCCAGCCTTCACTGTACCGTCTCCAGGATCCTTTTCTTTGAGATCATAATATTCCTTTTTCTTTTGAATATGTGTGTCCTTTCTGTGTTTGGATGCACTATCCACAAAAAGGATGCACTAGGGCCACAAAAATGATCAGAGGGATGGAACACCTTTGCTATAAGGGAAGGCTGAAAGAGCTGGGGTTGTTCAGCCTGGAGAAGAGAAGGCTGCGGGGAGACCTTAGTGTGGCCTTTCAGTACTTAAAGGGGACTTATAAGAAAGATGGAGACAGACTTTTTAGCAGGGCCAATAGCGATAGGACAAGGGGTAATGGTTTTAAACTAAAAGAGGGTAGATTCAGACTAGATATAAGAAAGACATTTTTTACAATGAGGGTAGTGAAACACTGGAACGGGTTGCCCAGAGAGGTGGTAGATGCCCAGTCCCTGGAAACATTCAAGGCCAGGCTGGATGGGGCTCTGAGCAACCTGATCTAGTTGTAGATGTCCCTGCCCATTGCAGGGGGGTTGGACTAGATGGCCTTTAAATGTCCCTTCCATCCCAAAGCATTCTATGATTCTATGATTCTATGATCCGTGTGTGACCCTCAGAATTTGCCATGGGCCAGGCCCTCTGCATCCAGTTTTACAGGATGCCATGAACCTCCTAAACAGACTGCATCCATATGGATGTTGAAATGTAGGTGCTGATTTTCCCCAGACAGTACTGAAATCACATTTCTGCAATAGCGGAAAGAGTTCTCCAAGCCTACATCATCTGGCCCCAGAGAAAGTTAGACCAGCGTTGAACATTCACCTGTCCCTCAGAGATTCAGGAGTGGAATTTGCCTCCTTCCTTCTTCCCACTCTGCTGACTGAACCACTGTGGAGTGTCACCAAAGATCATTTCTCCTTCACAAGCCCAGCAGAGATGAGGTTTAGTGGATGGGAAATGCATCCACAGGTACTGGCAGAAAATGCATTTAAACTGCATAAAAAAGAGATTATTTCATCTCATGGTCTTACATATTGCCTAAATTTGTTGTGTCACTAAATTGGTATATATACCTATAATTACAAATGGTTAATGGCTGATCATTCACAGTGCAGTGAGCTGCTTTATGCCAAGATAATACCAAACCAGGTTTTTCAGGGAATTAGGGAATTGCTGTCAATAAAAATAAATAATGCATTTATCCTTTAAAATAATTTTAAATTAACTGCCACAGGCTCATGGAACACAGCGTTGCACCAGAAGTCAATGATCCATAGCTCAGCTTCCAGTCCCATTACAGTATTGAATTCAAAGTCTAATTTACATATTTGTTTTTCCCCTCTACACAGGAATCGGCAGCCTATAATGCTGTTAACGCTCTTCAGTCAGCCTATGGCATAAGATACAGATACGGTCCTGCATCTAGCACTTTGTGTAAGTTTTCCTCTGGCACAGGTTTGTGACTTTGACCTACCTATAGTAAGAAGGAGATTATCCTAATTATAAGAAAGAAAGCAAACACTGTTTAAAGTGAACTTTGTTCCAGTTGTATGTGGTGAGGAAGGCGGAAGATGAAGTTTTGTAACTGATTCAGTCAGTTGATTGCAGTAAGATTAACTCCATTGATGCAATAAAAGGGATTAAAATGCAATGCATTTGAGAGGCAAAGCCAGAAAATAACATGTTCAGAATGTATAAAACCAGATTTTTAAAAAAAGAAAGATAAAACAAGATCTTAAAAAGTATGTCTTTATCAGATACTGTAAATGCACTCCTAAGTTATAAAGTATCTGGGAGGAAATAATTCAAAGTAGGTTTCTTTTTTCACCATTACTTTGCCTCTCCTTCCGTGTAATTGTGATAGATACAGCTATTCATGGAGCTCATTCTAAAATTTAGGGTGATGTCTTTAAAAGCTAGGTTTCAAATGTCTCTGTGTCTAGATGATGATAAATAATAGCAACAGTATCTTTATTTGGACATCTTCCATTTTTCAGAGAGCGATTTCAAATGCATTTTTCCCTATAACAAAATATCTTTAAAATACGCCTTTTAAATATGTAACAACATTTTCAGGGAAGCTCTCCGCATAGACAGATAAGAGAAAAAGAAGTTCAACAGGTTTCAACAAAACACTTTTTTTTTTACTGAAACTATGAGGCTTGAATGCTCTCAGTAATGATAACAGACACTGGAAAAGTAAGAAGCTTAAGTAAATAGCAAGATTTTTCACAAGTAACCTCCTGCATCTCCTCTGCTGTTGCCATGTTTTGGCTAGAGCTCCACTTTATTGTGGGCCTCATCTCACAGCACGGTCATCATCTTGTGCTCATTACAGTGCAGTCAGTCGCGATGTCAAAGAAAGAGCAGTGTGAATTAATGCCCGAATTGCACAGAAGACAGCAGGCCACATGAGAGATGGATCTTTATATAAATATAAGTATCTTGGGTAATCAACATATGGAGATAACGAAAGCATAAGAAGCACACTTCCTCGAGAAGGTTTGTTAATATTAGACACCACCTATGCAAATGCTCTCTATGCTGTAGTGAAATGGTGAGAAAATAAGACAGAAATGAAAAGAATTTTAAAAGCACTTTGAAAAGGAGAATGTAGATTACTTTATCAACTTTCTCCCTTCTCCCTGCAAAGGAATTGCCTAAAAAACCCATGTTAAACCTAGGAGCGTGAAGAGCTCCAGTCCAGCTGGGAAATCTTTGTGGAAGCAAAGCTTTAGACTGCACTCGCCTGGGAACAAGCACGGTTTGAGGCTTTATTCTAAATGTTCTCTTTTATTAAAGTTTTGCTTTACACAAACAAGTCAGTTATTAATTTTTTTCCTGTGAAAATCAAGGGTCTAATCCATATTGTGCTGAGCACCTTTCACCAGGTGCTGGGTGCCCATGCCCTTCTCTGAAGGGTGTTCAGGATCAGGGCAAGTAACAGCTGGAGTTGCAAGTATATTCACTGACTCCTGGAAACAAAATGCCACAAGAACCCGGTGGTGCTTTCAACATGACCTGCATTTAACATTTTTTAAAATTTTTCTCTGCATTCCCTCTTTCAGATGTGAGTTCTGGGAGCTCTATGGACTGGGCCTACAAAAATGGCATCCCCTACGCATTTGCGTTTGAGCTGCGTGACACTGGCCATTTTGGATTTTTACTTCCCGAGACGCTGATCAAACCAACCTGCACAGAGACCATGCTTGCAGTTAAAAATATAACTCTTCATCTGCTGAAGAAATGTCATTGAGAGCTATTTCTAGGAGCTGGAAGTGAGTGTTTTACTCCCAGTGCTGCTGCCCTTCAGCGTGTTCAGTTGCCGTTCTAAGCTTGGCCACTTCAAAATTATAGACGCTAATGGGAAATATGGTATTGTTTCTACCAGATTTACTTGGTGGAAAATGGAAAAAATCATTTAACATCTGCTCTACAAAAGTCCATAAAGTTGATATACTAACTTAGTTACAAGTTTGGTGTAAAATAGTCTGTTCTTTTTGCAATAAAGCTTTGATTCTGAAACTTCAGTGGGGCAGATCCAGGTCCATACACAGGTGCCTGAAATAAAACTCCACTTCCAGACAGTCCCTGGCCTTACTGGTTTCCCTACCAGGAAGACTTCCCTTAGTGGGGTCTCTTGAACCAAGGGATAAAGTTTACATTCATGCATATGTACTCTGTGACCCAACGCAGGTCCATGTCTATAGCAGTAAATGGCATATAGTTGCAGCTGGCCACGCTGCAAGTAGCAACGCGGCTTTCTTCTGCATGTATACATACATATGTATATGCACTTTTGTGGTTTCTTTTTTTCATGTAATGCAAGAATTTGACCCAAGGTTTCCTTTAATTGTTCAGAGAAACCTATTTTCAAATGTATATATTTGGAGGGACTCAAAATCAACATATTGCCTTTGAAAATGTAACTTTCCTAGAGATATGCAAGAATGATAATGAAATATTATTGAGGTATACAATACTCTGCTTTATGGAGAGACAAAGCAACTTGCCATGACTTGGAACTTGAAAGCCGGCAGTCGACTGGTGCATCTGGGTTCTGCTGTCGTCAGTGGCTGCCCATTTCCACCAGCCAAGGATCTAGCCTTAAACTGTATTTAACTGATGTTTTATTTATCAGTATTCTTGCAGTGAGTTCTGTAGCTCTATGGCTATGTGGCTGTTCTTCTTGGAAGTTGTATTTTTTGCATGTTTTAAAGGAATTAATAATAGATTCTTAAGTGAGCCAGAAGTGAAAGCAGAAGCTTTACAGCTGAAATACAGTGAATAAGCACCATGTTTAAAAGAATAATAACGAAAGCACAGAGAATGTAACAACTTATTGAGGGTTTTTTGGTACTTTTAAAATACTATTTTTTGATCTTCTTATATCTGCAAAAGCATATATTTTACTTTATTAATTTTGAGTTTAATCTTATGCCATAACATGTTAAATAAAACATATTTCTTAATAAAATCATCAAAGGCTTTTGAAGTATTCCTCATATTTCATTTAATTGTTAAATCTTTAGTTCAAGGATGTGACAGTTTTACCTATCTGTAAAACATTACTGACACCAAGGGTGCGATATTTTAAAAAACCCACATCCTCTCTAAATACATACTTGAATTTAGCAAATGAGCAATCTTTATGAGACTAGGGAGCCCTGTATTTAATTAAGAATACCATTGTTTTCAGGACTGCAAAAGGCAATCAGTGAGCAAAGATGACCGAATTGCATTCTATTTATTTAACATTCTGTTAATAAAAAGTATTTCTGTTAAACAAGGTTTCTGAAAGTTTGTTCAGATTTGATTAGTTCAGACTTATTTGAGTAATGCAAGTTTCTATTAGGGTTTAATAAAAACCTAGGGGACAGAAGATTTCAAAATATCTATCCACTAGTCATCTCCAATGGCTTATGACCATAATCATTAAATATTTTGAAGACAGCAATAACTGTCTTTTGCTATGCACAGATTCTTAACCAACGGTATTGATAGTGGTGTAAATTAAATATTAGCACCAATTGTTGTGAGTTATTCTGGATTTAGGTGACATGATTGAACTCCTACAAGGACATAAAAGACTGAAGTGAAGGACAGAAGGCGTGAGAGATGCCTAATCAGCATGAGGCAAATTTACCTCTGAATTGCTACAGTACAAACCTTTCCAAGTAAGGGCCAGGGGAAACCAGATTCAGATGTGATGGTTTGATTCCTGCTCGTAGTCCAGCAGTTCGTCATATGAAACATTCCATCTATCTTCATACCATCACATCTCCACTGGTACTGAAAAGTAATTGAACTCTTGGAGCAAGAAAGAAAAAAAAATAAAACCCCTCTTTTAGTTACCAAAATGACCTAACATTGTAGATCTAGTTGACCTTCTTGGACAGGAATAATTGCAAGTATTCTTACATTTATCTAAGAAGCTTTGACATTTAGAAGTACTTGATATCAAAAACAGTCCATGAACAAAGCTACCACCTGGTATCTGGATGGACTCAGCCTGAATACTATGTATTATGTGCAACTGAAAACTCTGAGCTGAGTTTTGAAGACCTGTGCAGGGTAATTTAGTGCCCCATAACTGAATACAGTAAACAGTCTCTGAGCCCTTTAATTTCAGGGTCACTAAAGCTGGTCAGAAAGACAGTCACTAGAAAAGAACTAGCCCTATGTCCTGAATTAAGAATTTGTAAGACAATTTATCAGCAAGAGTTACTATTCAACTGTTGGAGTTTATTCACATTAAACAATTCCTTCCCTTTTTATGTTTACATTCAATTTAATGGTACCACTCAAAGAATAAGAAATTCAGTAGCATAGGTAGTGTAATAAGTATTTTTGTAAGCCCTCTGAGCTGTCGTTTGCCTATGCAAACCTACTATATAATTTCCATACTTTGTTGTTATATAGCAGTCACATTCATTGTTAAAAAATGTTAGTCTCACATAACGACTTCATGGTTTTGGCTTCTGTACCTAAAAACCAGATGCTACCATTTTTGTGCAGTTCTTAAGCGATGGTAAAACACCAGGATAATATTTTAGATGCGTAGAGATACAACTACCCCTCTGCTGTAGAAAACAAGAAAAGAGAACAAAAATTCAAATAAATTACAGAGAGACGTTTTAAATATAAACCCCGTGATAGTAGCTACACTTCTTTAAAAACGTTTTCACCGCACAAAATACCTTTTCTGAGTTACAAATTTAAAAGACTTCTGTCCACGGAAAACGTAGGCCATTTGGCATGCTTAACGTACGCCCGATTCTCATACTCATTCAGGATAAAAAAATTAAGGTCCGAACAGCTGTAATTGCTTCCTCCTTCACTGCGCAGGAGGAAAGCTGGGTGCAGAGAGAGCTGCCTTCGGGCTGACTGCACCGGTAGGCTTTCAAGCCCCATCAACACCATGAAGTCACGAGTACTGATGCTGTTGGCGGATCTGTCTTGGAGGAAGGCGAACAACTCCAGAGTGGTTTTCGCAGTCCTCGGCTGAACGTGCCTGTCGCCCTAAGCGCGATGCACTGGTTGAGCAGCTTGTTGGAAACTCACAGCCTTAGGCTGCATGCGGTGTCAAAAGGGCCTGCCTTAACAACAAGGTCTGCTGCTAATATCTGCAAACTCGGGATAACCAGAGTCACTCCAGCGCAGTGAGCTAACACATGGTTCTCCTTAGCAAACGTTTGGGCCAAGGACGTTTAGAACAGGCAAATCTTTAGCCCCTGAATGCTTGTCCTTGCCTGACAGGCAGGAGTGGTCAAGCAGAAAGTCTCGGCTCTCTCCGCTTGCAGATCCTTTCAAGCCCTCTCCTGAGAGACTGAGTTAAGCATGGCAGGGCTTGCCCTTGGATTTAGACATCAGGGAATGCACTCATACATAATAGATTCAAATGTTAATTAAAAAAAATCTGCCACTGTCCCCAGCCATGCAGAAACTGCACTTTGCCTGTGACAAAGAGAATCCATCCATTGCCGTAAAGACACGAAGTAATATATTTCATCTGTCCTGCCTGCTCTTAGAGTCCAGCCACCTTAGCACTCCTCGGCGTTATTGAAAAAGACATGCAGCAGAATAGCCATAACAATGAAATATTTTAATCTACCCCCAGGTCTGTAGGAGCATATACTTTATCTCAAATAATAGATAACCGCTTCTGAAATAAATATTGTGGCACGACTGCGAGTGGGTGTTTTAGTCTTTCATGCTGACTATGTGCCAGGCTATTCCTCTGCATACCAGGATGGCTCGATGCTGGGACGGCTGTCTCATTTTTTAACTAAATAATGAACCCTTTTTATTTTACCAATTCTGAGCAGAATATCAAGTTAGGTTTGAAGATATATACACACAAAAGAGCCTGAGAAAGTTTCATTTTATAATAGAATTTTCAGTTTTCTTGAAAATAATGCATCTGTTAAAATCACAGCCAGAGTTTTCAGGCGGCTCATTGTTTTCAGCATGTCATAACTGAAAAAAACAGTATAGCAGCCTGAAAAGCCGAGCAGAAATGACTGATCTACTTACTGCTTCATTTCCCCTGTTCCATTTCACTTTGTTTCTAGATTGAGAAAATCTGGGTTGATTGGGCTGAATTGAAGGATCACAGTCAAAAAGCTGAGTGTAAAGGGTTCTTCTGTGCTTAATGAGCTAGAAATAGCTACTTTAAAAAAAAAAAAAAAAAAGCAACTTGTTATATTTTAAGTGCTTTATACAGACTAATTGCTTTACTCTGTTTGAATTAAATTATCACATTCACAGAACTTATCATGGTTTGGAGTGATGCATTGTTATTTTCCTGGGAGCCAGCCAGTTTTCTAAGGGTTAAATGAGTGAAATGCCTGCTAGTGCAGTAGGAGAACCAGAGCTGCCCTTTGGCCTTGTTAGCACAGAATCTGTCAAAAAGGCAAAATACACTTGAGCCTTATCTAACAGGATAAATTTGCTATATCATGCTGCATGCATCTCCATTTCTCTTCCTCCGTTTCAAAAAAGAAGTGAATACTGTCTGTCGGTGACGACTTCAGGCTACGAAAGTCCCTAACTTTTGGTACTAAATTTAAATCATGAACCTGTTAAAATATGTGAACTTCCCCACATACCTACGCAGATCCATTCACACACAAACAAGATGTCTGTCTGCACAATGTGTACTGTGTGATGGTTTACGTAATGGTGTAGCTGCAATTCTTGGCAACCACAGGGCTGCTGATAGCAGGCAGCATGTGTTCAGCATCTCTCCTCTGC